GCCTCCAAGGAGCAGCCTAATTTCACTCTCTCCAGGACAAGCCTGTTTGTTCTCTTAACAGTCCATGGTATATTCATACTCTCTTCCAGCACCACAATACCCAAAAGCATAAATTCTTCTATCATCCTTAGTCACTGTCCAGCTCTCTGATGCATAGCAAGTAACTGTGAAGACTATGGCTTGGATAAGGGACACCTTAGTCTCCAGACTGACAGTGTTGCTCTTCAGTACTCTGGAGAGGTCTTTGATAGCAGATTTTCCCAATGCAATTCATCTTTTGATTTCCTGGCTGCTGGTACCAAGACTGTGGAGCCAAACAAGTGGAAGCTGTTAATCTCAATCTCTTCGCTGTCTGTCATGAAGCTGCCAATTGGCCCAATGGTGAGGATCTTTGCTTTCTTGATGCTAAGCTTCAATTTATATTGAAGGCTACAGTCCTTGACCTTCTGCAGCAAATGCCTCAGGTACTCCTCAGTTTCAGCTAGCAAGGTAATAGCAATCTGCATTAACACAGGTTGTTGATGATTCTTCCTCCAATTCTGATACCATATTCCTCCTCTTGGAGCCCAGCCTCCTAGATGATCTGTTCCACATACAGCCTGAAAAGGTATGGAGACAGGCTGCATCCCTGGCGTACACCTTTCCTGATTTTGAACTATGCAGTGTTTCCTTATTCTGTTCTAACAACTTCCTTCCTGGTCTAAGTATATATTTCGCATAAGCACAATCAAGCGTTCTGGGACTCCCATTGTTCTCAGAGTTAGCCAGTTTTCTTGTGATCCACACAGTCAAATGTGTTTGTATAGTCAATGAAACATAGGCAGACATTCCTCTGGTACTCTGCTTTCAGTTAAAATCCATCTAGCATTGGCTATAATATCCCTAGTGTCAAGGCCTCTTCTAAACCTAGCCTGCATATGTGGCAATTCTCTTGCTGATGTGCTGTTCCAGTAATTTCTGGGTAATTTTCAGCAGGATCATGCTTGCATGTGATATTAATGATTCGGCAATCAACTCTTTCAATATCTCAAAGTTTCAATTGAGCTCTCATGGTTTTTGGGTTGCTTCTTAAAGCACCCACAAAGTTTTGTTGTAATTAAAAATGTAAAATCATATTACGTTCCACTTTATCACAATAAAGACGTCATGGTGTCAGAGAGGCCAAAGCATTAAGCTACTAACCAAGGACTGCAGTCAGCCAACCAGCCACGGCGCATATGTGGCACCCAGGCCCACAGCTTCTAGGGTCCTTCAGCATCCACTCAATGCATGTTCAGTGAGTGCTGACTGGTTTACTTCCAACAACAAATAAAAATAACTGGCAATGTGCAAAACAAAGTAGCTTTAAGATCTGATACTGATTCTGAGTAATAAGAAGTCCCTGGTTTTCTCCTTGACTGTTGGCATATTCTGCATGCCTTCCAGTATCAGACCAGAAAAGAAAGCATCTTAGATTCAAGTTGGTCAATATTGTTTACTGACATTGTTTTGTCCATCAAACACAATCTCAAAATGAACTTATGGGAGAATATACAATAATTGGTTGAAATGAAGTTTTCTGATTATGACTATGTTTCAATCATGGGCTATCTATGACCCAGGTGGTGAAGAGCGAAGACCCCTTACCGAGCCTGAGATGTTTGGACTAAGGCAAAGATGCATCACTAAAGTATCAAACACCAAGTCTCAGGGAATGCCAAGGCTAATTGTTATAACATGCTCCACATCTACTTTGGTAAGTAGTAACTAGGGTCTTCAAATATTGTGACTGGCCATCTAATGAGACCACTAGTTCTCCCTGTTCAGAGCAAAGAAGGGTAAAGAAAATAAAGATACACAGAAACAATTATTCCAAAGGATTAAATGACCACTCACGCCTCAATTTCCAGGACCTTAAGATCAAAACTAGACTGTACCCAGCTACCAACACTGATAGCTCCAAAATGGATCTCAGCAGGTGGTCCTGCACAAAGTGGGAGAAAAATAAAGATCAAAACGCAAAACTCATGAAACTAGTCAGATATGCTGGTAAGGGAGACTGGTGGAATTGCTCACACTATGGCCCTTAGCTCCTCTGGAGCCTGGAACTGAACTCACTGACTCCTGTGGCTTAACTTTCAAACAGAAAGGCCAGTGAAGAGCTGCGCTGCAGGGGAAAGATGGGCAACCTATACTCCCTTGTGATTTACCGCCTCCGAAAACCTGCTGAAGGGTCAGCTATGGATCAATTCCAACTCGATGGGACCAAATAACAACAAATAAGGTGCCTGGTAACACCAAGGAGATACCCAATCCTTAAGAGGCATGGTAAGAGCACGGGTACAATGTGAGGATTGGGTCTAATGTCATAAAACAAACGTGTATGGATGGTGCTATGAAAAGGAATTTGCTTCGTAAATTTTCACTCAAATCACAGTAGCAAATTTTAGATAAAATTCCAAAGACAGAAGACTGGTTTTCCATAGCAGAAATCTTCAATGCTAAAGCAGTTACACAGATCTAAGCAAACAAGTACCATTCATGGCTTTCCGATCAACTATAATACCAGAGAGCAAAAATCCCAGAGAGAGTGCTCCTGAAATTAAAAACAGGACCTGAAAGCTTTATTTAGAACAGGAAAGCTTTTTCACAGCTACACCACTCCACGTCTGGTCCTCTGTGAAGCTGCCGGGCCCAGTGTGGACACTGCAGAAAACCACTAACACCTTTTAAAAAAAATTATCTTTCAAAACCTCAAGACCAAACTCTGTGCCCTCAAGAGGGTCTGAATCGCAGCAATCCTCCATCAGGGTTCCAAGGGAACGGAAGGAAGGAGACTGTCCACCTTTCTCCATTTAGGAAACAATATTTTCTACGTACAAAGATGATAAACCAAGTGGAAAAATCACAACAAGCAAGCCCAACACCCTGCTGGGGAGTGGGCTTAGACTCCTGCTGACTCTGCACTGGGCTTCAGATGTTACTGGGAATCAACAATCTCCTCCTTTCTTCTCAAGACTTATGAGAACTATGCAGCTTTTGGTTAGGGGCCCAACAGGTAAGGCACTTTGCCGTGCCATCAGGGGTCCCCACTCAGCTCCAACGAGGCCTGCAGACCTTCATGGGAGGAGCCTGTCCGTCTTCCTCATGCAGAGAGGCTGCCAGGTAAGAACCATTCAGCAGGAAAACAAGGAGCCAACTATGACAAAGAGTACACCTAAACACATCAGCTACTATTTCACTTGCCTTTGATACCTGAAACGAACAGCTTTTAAAAGAATTCTGATTACTTTCTACTGTTTAAGCCACCCTCAACGGTCAAACTAGACCTACACTAAAAGTTGAACCTGGACTCTTTGAGTTGGCCCAAAGAGTTGACTGTCTGAAGGCATTATTCAAAACAAACAACCCAGGCTGAGCATATAATGACCACCACTGCAGAGCTGAACTCCAACTACAACCCCTTGGACCTGCCTTGAGTTCCAGTCTGTAAGTACACCTGAGTTCCCGAGTAATTCTGAACCAGTCTGTCAAGCTGAGAACCAAAGGGGTGGTGGTGGGGGTTGGGGATTATCAACCCCAGTCAGTTATTAGAACCAAGGTGACTTTAAGTACAAAATTGGTGTCTAGAAACCTATCCCAGAGGCAATAATTCTAAGAAGGCACTCCACACCGGTTTCTTTTATTAGCAAATAAAATATTCTTTGAAATAACAGGGAGCTCCACCCCCAAATTCTATGTTGTAGTGTCACCAATCATACTGGGTTCACTCCTTCACCAAAACAAGCCTTTGTCTGAGCCATTCCCAAGCCCAGGTATTAAAGGTGATCATTCTTCACCAAACAAAGATGCTTTTGCGCTGTAACCCAGGAGACTGGGCACTTCAGTAGGTATCATTGTTAAGTGGTATCCTGAGAAAGCAATCTCTCTGTTCTGTCTCTTTAACAAACGCCAAGGGTGTCCTTGATGTTTTTCTGTCCTATCTTGTACATTCTGTCGCAGGGAACTTGTTATTAGGTGCTCAGCACCAGTGCACGTTCCTGGAAGTAAACGCTGTAAGGTTTTTAATCATCACTCCAGGGTTTGCCTTTTTACACAAAGTGCTTTAACGATGTGTTGTTGTTTGCGGATTGCCTTCCAGTCGAGCACGACCCTATGAACAAAAGGCCCAATGCCTTTTTATAACTATCGACATTTATCAAAGTTCCTAGTTTCTGGAGGCACGTTGTTTTAGGAAGCGGATGCTGCTCCTGCTTCCGCCTCTCTATATGCTTTTAACCATCTACAGCCTCCCGCATCTGACCGAGAGCAGAGAGAACACTAAAATGCAATAACCCTTTCCAGGTCAGAATGGGAAATCAGAGAGAGATGACATTTTCAGCCAGCACACACGTGGTATTTGTCAATAAGCACTATGACCTAAAATTAAAAAGAAAGAAGTGGCAGTGTCTTTTGCTCTCGGGGGTTTCGCCTCTCTCAGCGCCCACAGCGATCAGGCCCCTCCCGGGCCCGAGCAGTCGCACACCGGAGCGAGAGCAGCGCCCCTGATCGGCCTCCCGACCCGACCCGGCCTGCGGGCCTCACGGCGAGGCGGCCGCCGAGGAGCCGCGACAGGCGCCGGGCCGGAGCAGGCGGCCGCCCCGTCCTCGCTGCAGCGGAGCCCCGCCGGCCTGGGGGATGGGGGCCGGGAAGCCAGAGCTCCGCCCGGACACTGCCCGTCGCGGCCCGGCCTCGTGGCGGAGGCCCGGAGACCACGGCTCGCCGCGGCCGCCGGAGGTCGAGGGAGGGATCCGCCCCGCGAGAACGACCCCGGGGGCCCAACCGCCACCGGCCCCCGGCCCCGAGCGCGCCATTTCCAGGCCGAGGCCCTCCAGGCGCCCCTCCCAGGCCTTCCGCGGGCCGCCCGGCCGGATCCCGAGCCCTCCCCCGCCACCGGTGAGCGCGGGAAGGCCACCGCCTGCGAGCCCCCGACCCCGCACGCCCGCCGCACCCGCTCCGGGCCTCGCGCACGCCCGCCTCACCCTCTGCCGCCGCCGAAGCTGCTGTAGGCCCGATCGTCGTAGGTATCGAAGTCCGCCATTTGCCGTCTCCGCTCCGAGAGGAACCAGGGTGAGTGAGGAAGGACCCCGCAATATAAC